TAAGAAAGAATTGCTGGACTGAAGTATTTACTTAATTCCTTGGTTGAGATGCACAGATGCGCAATGCTTCAATGAGCTATATAACACTAAAAAACCACTAAAGTAGTTTTCCTGGAAAGGACAACTACTTTGAAATTTCAGTGCTCAATTCAGACATGGAAGGAATTATGCATCTCCCCAGATGGCTTCAAGGTCTTTGCGGTTCAGATCCAACATGCAAGCATTTGCTAATTGAACAAGTGAATGAATAAATGGTTTGATATCAAGATAAGGCAAGACTCCTCATGATTTCAGTCATTTTTCCAAGTTTAATCTCTAAATGGATTAAAGCTCAAGCCCTGGAAATATTTGTAAATGGCGAAGAGAATATTATTAGAAAAATCTAAAGAGGTTGTTTTACAAGCCAGTTTTAAGATTCGTCTGAGAAACTTTATGAATTAGATGAAATTTTGATCTGAAAGAAAAACACCATCTCCAGACATTGCACGATGCATATTGGAGAGTTTAAACATAACTATAGGCTAATGTTAATAGTCATTTTTACTTGGAAGTGTATCAGAGGTTGAATATTAGTGATTTGGAATACAGTGAACCAATTGAATCATAGAGGCTGACTTTAAAACATGAGAGCATCTGTAATTTTGGAAAAAAGCTGATGCCTTTATAAGGTGACCAGAAGTCTAATGAGGTCATTGCCATATCAAGAGGTCTCTATCTCAGAGACAGGCATGAGCAGCTAAGCTGGTTCCGGACAGTATGCTTGGCTTCCTGTCTCCCTGCTTGAGTTCTTAGTCCCAGCACTCACTGAGACACTCACCGAGAATCCAGTCAGGGCACAAGTAAGCAGGAATATTGAAATAAAAAATACGTTATATTGAAAAAAGAAAGGAGAAGAACAAGGAACAGAAGAAACTGTCAGAAAAGAGGGAAGGCACTGCCTGTCCACACCTGCTGGGAAACCATATTTCCTGCAGATATGGACCCATTCTGAGAGATAAGGAAATGGGATCTCTTTAAGTCAAAAAGAATTATTCTTCCTCTTCTCATGTCAGGTAATGTTTCTGGAATGAAGAGGTGGGGAAGTTTTCCAAGTGTCTTCACTAATTCCCCAAGTGTCCCTAGTAGACCCTTAGACCCACGAGGAGATAGCGAAGAAAAGGATGATTTAATACTTCAAATTGAGCATATTGGGAAGTCTCTGCAAGTTGAAATCTTACAAACATACAATATATAGATATAAGGAAAATGGTGTCTATCCTTTTCCTTTTCCTTTGGGAATCAGGTCAGGAATTGTTAGGGAATACAGTAACCTATGCTGTTAAGAAAAGAGAATCGTGATCAAATGTTATTTTTAGCACACTCATTGGTGAAGTTAGTTATTCTCTCACAAAATTGAAAAAGTGAGAATTAGGCTCATTTTGGATTTTTATCCACCAGTGTTAATCATGTAAGAAGCTAAATATACTATTTTCAGATAACACAAAATTGAAATAACCTGATTTAACTTTTAGAATTTAGATGACTCTGATAAGGATACCGCTAATGAAGAATTTTATAAACATAAAGTCACTGAATCTTTGTCATCAGATTTCACCAAACTCCCAAGGTTAGAAAGGCAGAGACAGTAAATTTTGATAAATCATTTAATCAAAATAACCACTTATAATGGGATATTTAAGTCTAGGGAAATGAAAGTCTTATCTCAAAATAAGTCACTTTAATTAACACTCAGTGAAATACAACGTGATCTAAGACTATTGGGAAACATTGGACACATCCACCAAATATAGATCAGAGAAAAATTGAATACTAGAACAGAACAAGATCAACCTTAACCTTGAATAACCATGACATTTAAGCACAGCCTACATGTGAGTTCACCTCCTCACTGTTGGTATTTCAGTCTTACATTCAAGGGACTGCAACTCTCATTTGTGAATACATTTTATATTATGGAAGGAAGACAGGAAATTGAATAACATATGGTTCTTTCCTGGCATAGCAATTTTTGTTAAAGAATTAGAACAAATACCAACCAATCAGAAGTGTGTTCAGTTGGAGTTTGACTATAGTGAAAGACATGAGATCAGGGGTCAGTAAATCTGTATGAACTGTTACCTGCTGGAACGAGAAACAATACTACTGAGACTTCTGAGATGATAACAACGGTTGTTTCCAGACATTGACATTCAGAAAGTCTTTAATCTTCATAGACATGAGAGGCTGTTTCAAAAATTTGAAGGGCCATGCCTTGCCGAAGCCAAGACTTGAACCAGGTCTGGTTGCCTCCAACTGTGTAGACTTTCTACTCTTACCCTTTCAAATGTTTTGACAAGATAGCGTATGTGAAAATATATAAACACATAGCTCAATACATGGCAATGATGTGTTTCTATACAGGCAAATATGTGTTGCCTGTATAGAAAATAGGATAATCCTTGGGATTCTTTTTTTTGGATTGGAGTCACTCCATTGCCCAGGCTGGAGTGCAGTGGCACGCTTAGTTGACCTGCTGGGCTCTGGTGATCCATCCACCACCTCAGCCTTCCAAGTAGCTGGAACTACAGGCACGCGCTACCATGCCTGGCTAATTTTTTTGATTTTTTAAGGTAGACACGAGGTGTCCCAAGCTTCTCAGTCTGGTCTCAAGCCTGCGGGCTCAGGCAATCCACTCGCCTCGGCCTCCCAAAGTGCTGGGATGACAGGTTGAACCACTGAGCCTGGCTAATCCTTGTGATTCTAATGGAAGAAGAGAGAGAACAGGAGAATGAGGTGGGGGCTTTTAGGCATCTACAAAAACAGATAAGAATATGGTAAAATTCAAGACCTGTGGGATTACCATTTGAAAAAGCATTCTTTCCTGACCATGCACACATGGTCAGTAAGGTGTGCTTTGGATTAGGTTTCATCAAGTGAAAATGTACAGGAAAGAGCTCTGAAATTCAAAATACCCTCACACAAATACAAAGCTTTATGGCCCAGTTATGATTCTAATCAAACCCTGTTTGCCAGATGACCCTAAATAGGAAGAGGTAAAAATCAAGCACATTTTCAAAACAATTTATGGAAGCACAGGGGTGGCTACGAGATCACAAAGGAAAGAGGATAAGTGTAATTGGAAGTTACTTTTCCCATGATACACACAGAGAAGCCCATCTATTATACATAGTTTTTTTCCACAGTGTTCTGAATGAAGTAAAATGGCAGCTCATTTGGGCCACAGCCCCAGTGTAAGATTTCCTACATATTTCTCATTGCAACTAGAGTTATTTGCTTACCTTGCTTCTGTGCAGAAGGGAATCATATTTTTTTCCTCAGAAAGTTGTTAACGTCAGAATCACCAGCTTTGTCAGTATTGGAGATTTAAATATTTTATCCTTAGTTCATACTTAAGATTTAACATTTGCCAAGCACACAGTGTTAATGATTAGGACTATTGTGTTTTGGTTTAATCTTTCAGTTTTCCTTTTTAAAAAATCTCATTTATTTAGAGCAACTGTTAAGAACATATGAAGTTATTTTTATTGCTTCTTTATTCATTCATTACATTCTTTATGTATATGGTCATTCGTGTACTATTCTCTTTTACTTAAATATGGTAATGTCTATATTAACTTTTAAAATATTAAAACCTGGAGTGTATAAAGCTGAAATCCATCTGGCCAGATGGAAATGTCTGTTTTATAAAAAATTCAGATAGAATTGACTATTTTTTTTTTTTTTTTGGAGGTGGATTCTCACTCTGTCGCCCAGACTGGAGTGCTGAGGCCGCTCCCGGCCACTGCAGCCTCGACCTGCTGGGCTCTGGCGATCCTTCCATCTCAGCCTTCTGAGTAGCTGGAATTACAGGCATGCACTACCATGCCCGACTGATTTTTTTATTTGTTGTAGAGATGAGGGCTTGCCAAGTTGCCCAGGCGGGTCTCGAACCCGCAGGCTCAGGCAATCCACTCACCTCAGCATCCCAAAGCGCGGGATTACAGGCTGAGCCACCGAGCCTGGCTGACTATTTTGTTTTTAAATGGGCATATATTTTACTTATTATCCCATTTCCAACAGTGCATATTGGCTCTAGCTAAATACTTTATTTTAGTGGTACTAGCTTTACCAATTTAAATATGAGATTTACATTTCTATGGCAATGAGATGACAAAGCCTCTATTGTTCTGAGAACTTTTTTGAAATGTTTTTTCTTCACATTCACAAAATCTTTATACTCTTTGAGTGAACTTAAGCATACGACTTGAAGGCAAATTTCTTTCCAGTAAATTTTTTGAACAAAACTAGTTAGATTAAAAAGGAAAGGCTCAGCCGGGCTCGGTGGCTCAGCCTGTAAGCCCGCGCCTTTGGGAGGCTGAGGTGAGTGGATTGCCTGAGCCCGCGGGTTCAAGACCCGCCTGGGCAGTGAGACCTCACCTCTGCAATAAATCAAAAAATCAGCTGGGCGTGGTAGCGCGCGCCTGTAATTCCGGCTACTCGGAAGGCTGAGGCAGAAGGATCACCAGAGCCCAGCAGGCGAGGCTGCGGTGGCCAGGAGTGGCCACTGCACTCCAGTCTGGCGACAGAGTGAGACTCCAACTCAAAAAAAAAAAAAAAAAGGAAAGGCTCAGTCTATATCACTGTGTTTTCTCTGCAAGTTTATATTTCTAACCACCAACATGATGTATGTAATAATTAGAGGATCTTTCATTTGGATAATTTCAAGTAATAAATAAAATGATCCTTTACAGAAACTTAAATGAGAGAAAAGCAGGAACCAGTGCACCAAACGACATTCTCAAAGCCACACACTGAAGTAGATAGCCTGGAGAAGGCAGACTGGGCTTACAAGTGACACTCAGGGCCACAGCTCCCCATTCTGTCTCTGGGAGTGTTCCTGTCAACGTCAAGGGGAAGCCCTGGGCTGCTCGTAGAACTCCGTGAGGACCAAAACCATGCACCCCATGACCTGAAGGCGCTGCACCAATGTACCTCTCAGTCGCGACCTGAGAGTGACCTACCCCCTCCGCAGGAGACGGAGCACTCAGAGCGCACGATGGCCCAGGTGTAGCTGGGCTGGCCAGTGGGCTTCTTCCCTGACCCCAAGCGAGGCACTGAGTATTCCCAGGCGATGCCCGGGTTCCTTCCCTGAAACAGAAGCTGCAACAACAACAACAACAAAAAGACGGGGGGAAAGGAAGGTGAATTCATGTGAATCCAGCAAATGCTTACTAATTTGCTTTAAAGTACTTAAAATGACATTCATAGTGACAAAATTTGGTTATAATGAGAAAATAAACCCGGCCCACCCTCCAACATTTGTATCAGTTTTTAAACAGAAAAAACACGCTTGTCTAGACTCAAGAACGTCTAGAATAGGGTATAGACAGGCAAGTCTTTCACCTTATATTTAATGACTTCCTCCATACAAAGCTTCAAATGCCTTTGGACCTAATACGAGCTTTCCCCCCCATTATTCTTTTTTACTTACCTATTTTTCTAATTTTAGATGCAGGGGTTCATGTGCAGGTTTGTTACCTGGGTATATTGTGTGATGCTGAGACTTGGGCTTCGGTTGAACACGTCACCCAGATAGTGAGCATGGGACTCAAGACACAGTTCTCATTCCTTGCTCCCTTTCCTCCCTCTACTCTGCAGGGGTCCCAAGTGTCTGCTGTTCCCATTTTAGGTCCCATCTTCATGCCCAGTGTTTAGCTCCCACTTACAAGTGAGAACATGGCAATATTTGCTTTTCTGTGTCTGGGTTAATTTGCTTCAAATAACGGCCTCCAGCTGCATTCATCTATTATTTTTTATGGATACATAATAGAAACACATATTTATGGGGTACTTGTGATAATTTGATACATCCTAATCAGAAGCATTTGGTTATGTCCCTTGGTGGTTTGGGGGAATCACCTGCAAATTCTTTGCATCTGAGTGAATCAGAAAAGGATACTTACAAGGCACTGTCATACTCCCTAGTGGGTTCCAAATATTTCAGGACACTTACATAGATATCATCCCTGCCTGATCAAAGTTAAGATATAGCCCTTTCCACCATGAGAGTTAAAGGGGACTTCCAACTACTGGCAGGTAACCACTAAGCCCAGGGGAAAAGGTATTTTACCAATAAAGTAGATCACTTGGGCCTGGCATGCCTGTGAGTCACTGTTTAGGGCATGAAATTAGATTTGAACTTCCTAGATTGAAGCTCAATTATATGAACCAGTGATCAGTTCTTTCATAAATGCATCAGATCCTTGGATCTTGGTGAGTAGGTGTTTCTGGAAGCCTCACTGTTAACCTGTTGATATAAATCCCATGCCTGAACTTTGGAGTCCTTGTTGTCCTTGATGTTATGGTCATGTGGACGAGGACATACCTTCCCCTGACTACCCTGGTACCCTGGTACCACGCTCCACCCTCCGCCTACCTCCTGCCTGGTGACACAGCTCAAATCTTAGTACTGATGTTGTGGGACAGGTAGGAGCCCAGCATAGGTGTTTGCGCTGACAGGCCCCCAAGATGCTCTCCAGCCCTGGTATTCTGATCCTTAATTCTTCTTCCATCAAGAAAAGTTTCCTAATATGCCCTGCTCATCTTCAACCCTGACCTGCCTCCCTTTCTCTGATGGTTAAAGCTAAATCTTTGGTGATGGGAGAAACACAATCAAGGAAAGAACTTAGGATGAATTACAAACAGGTGGGAAGGGTATGGTCCAGGGGCAGGGCGGAAAGATGGAGGTGGGACCTGGGGACTACAGCAGCTGCTCTACACCTGAGCCATTCCCAGATCACCTGGGGAAGCTTCCCCCAGGGAGACACAGGAGGAGGGAATGGGGCTGTGAGACTCAGGGAGCAGGAAGGGGATGTCAGTGGCTGCCATCTTCATAGCAAGGGTGGGATGCCGGGCGACTTTTGAACCAAGTACTTTTCCTTGAATTGTGCACAGAAATATGACAAGGTTGGGATTTAGCACATCTACTACCTGCCACCACTGTCTGCCCAGTCCTGTGGGACAGATGGTATTGCTGGAAGCCTGTTTGTATATTGTGAGTCTCTGCCTTCCGGGGTAGAAAAGCTACTGGGCACTGGGACAATGGGACTGCAGAGCTGTGGCCCGCCATCGTTAATGCTGTGACCAGGCAGTTATTCACCCAGCAGGAGGCTTCAGCTCTGGGTTATCTTCATGCCCCTATTTCTACAGGACGCAGCCATAGAATGCTGATCCCACCTCAGAAACAGGCAGAGACACAGCTTCTCCCACCCTCCCCAGGAGTGTCACTATCACAGCCATGGAGCTTTCTGCAGAGGAAGACTTCGAATGCGACAGTCAAAAAACTCCAAATGGGAACACATGTGATGCATAAATACAGACTTAATCAAACACTAGAAGACGAAAGATAATAACAACAGGTCTACTGTCCCATTCAGCCTATGGATGGGTTACTCCTATTTTTGATAACTGTAATTTTGATTCTCCGCGTTCTCAAAATTATGTCAACAGAATACCCTCAAATCCAAGCCCTGAAACCAAGCACTGGCCTCTACCTCTACAGTCAGCGTTTCGTTGGTTGGGCCAGTGGAGATTAAGGTCTCAGGCTCATGATAAGACCGTCTGTAGTCGAAGACAGCGCCTGCAAACTTGTATCGGCCGGGCCAGTCCACGGTCCAGTGTCCGTTCAAGTAGTATTTTTTGAGGACATTGCACACAGAAATGTAGGAGGTAGAGACGTTCATTTCATAGATGCGAATATTCCGGGCTCCAGAAGGAATGGTGACTATGTGGTAATACTCTAGAGAAAGAACATGGGGGAAATATTGTATTTCATTCAATAATGCCAACACATAGTTTCTATGCAACTTCAGCCCTTGGGAACCAAAACCTGAGGGTGCACACCTGGAACAAGGGAAGATCTGTGTTGGCAATCAGTTCCTTTAGAACCATCGTGACTCCTTTTTATTCATTGGAGCAGTGTGATTTTCACTGTTCCCAAGAGCAATTTTAATTCAAATAAGCTAGTGATCACTTCCAATCCAAGTAAAGGGCTACAGCAAAAGCAAAGTGCTACCCAAGGCTGGAAATGCCACTGTGGAAGGCTTGCCAGGTGCTTGAGCACCTGTGTTTCACTGTCACCTCAAGCTCCTCCCACTAAGAGGTTCCAGTTAAAGTCTTCTTTGCCCAAGACATGTGGGCAGCTCTAAGGTACTCACGGTTGGCGGGGTGGTGCTTGGCGTAGAGACCCTTGTGAGTCGTGCAGGCTGAGTTATTCCCTTTGCATACTCCACAGCTGTCTTCAACAGCATCAGACCCAAGGACATTGTCACATCCAACTCTCTGGAGGGACCCACGAGGTCACACATCATCCATGAAAGAAAGGACAACACACGCAATGTCACCAACCTCAAGTAGGAAACTACCTCCCCACCAGAGTTGGAAATTTCATAAACACAGGGTAATGAACAAATATTTATTGGATACCCAGTATGTGCACAGCAGAACTACAAATCTACTCCTTCTATCCAAAGCGGGAAGTTTTTAAATATGAAGCATAACACGTCCTCTTTAGTCTTGTTGCACAAATGTAGTACACTGAACCTTGAATGAAACCTACGGGTTGTCGTGGTGGAGACGTGGGTGACTTTCAGGCTGAATAAAAGTGACCAGCAATGTCTCCACACACGGTTCCACTGAATGTGCTTTTGAGTTGTGTCTTGTGTGGTGGCAGACAAAGAGATGACACAGAGAAGTTCTCCTCAGGAGTAACAATGGAAAGGGGCAGCTTTGGTCACTGCCTTTGAATTTTAGAAGCTCTTTATAATTTCTATGATAATTCTATGATTTTTGGTATTATATTTCCTCACAAAGAGAAGAGGCACTGTATGTAGAAAATCCATATGGAAACAAAATACCTAGAGTCCACAATCCCTTGCTTGAAATTCTTAGGGCCAGATGCATTTCAGAACTCAGAGTTGTTTTTGCTTTCTTTTTAATTTTAGAAAGGTAATGGGTATTTTGCATATTATGCATATGGGTATCTCAGAATGGCCCAGGATGGCATCCCATGGATTAACACATTCATGTTTCTATACTGAAAAATATACGTATTCATGTGGGATAAAGAAAGCCAGTCAATAGTCTCACGGCAGATCTTGCCACCAGGGCAGATTTTGCCACCAAACAAATTCAAGTCCCCCAAAATGTTCACAGTTCTTTGGATTTCAGGTTTCTGGATTTCAGAGATACAAATAAGGGAGTGTGACACTGTACCACTGAGAATACCTAAATGTAATAAATATTTAACAAACAATTAGACAAAATTGAGCATTTTACATCTAAAAGAGATCTTAATGGAATCATCTAGCATTAATCTTTCTACATTAAAAACGATTTCACTAAGGAACTCAGCGGGTGATTCAACCATGGTCACCCTAAGGAGGAACCTAGAACTGGAGGAACCTAGAACTGGAGCCAAGTTTCCTGGACTCCACAGAATATACATATTAAATGCATATTAATGGATATTAATGCAGAATATGCATATAAAAAACCCACTGCCTGCATGCAATGCACTTGATCTGCTAATGCCTTCACTTTGTCTATAATAAAATTCTGTCCACCCCTCACCTCTGCCAGTGGCGACAAGCTCACCTGTCACCTTATGCTCACCTCGTCTCTGACTCTCCAGCCCATCTCCCACCTCCCTTTCTGTCTGCTCTCCTCAGGGGAAGTTGAGGCTACTGGATGTTGGGAGAACACAGCAGGGAGGCAAGGGGCCCAGGCTCTCTGCCAACCTCGCCTTCTTTGACTCTACACTGTGGCCCAGAAACTGCCACCTGACCCTGTGGCTGCCCTGCTCCCAGTGCATGGGACACAGGGATGTGGCCCCAATGCCTCTTCCAGGGAATGGTGGCCCTGGGAGGGTCTCTTCTCACCCCACTCCCCTCCCTCAGTCTCCTCATCTCCTCCCTGCCCTGGGTATTCTGATGACCGAATCAGCTCCCATCAGCCCATGCCTGTGGTGCCACCGTGGTTCCCTCCCTAATCCTCCAGCTTTCCTCCCCCATCTCACCCTTTCAGATCTAGCTCGGGTGCAGCTGTTCCCTCCTCCTAGGAGAACCACACATGTCCCAGACCCACATCCAAGAAAGAGTTGGCTCCTGCCCACTCCTCAAGCTCTGTATACAGCTTCATTGGAACAAAGCAGTGTGCCACCAGTGTGTGCTCCTGTGGCTGTCCCCTCTCCTGGGCTGTGACTGGGAGGGAAGGCTTGCCCTGCACATCCGGTCTTTCTAGCCCCTGCAGGGTACTGGGCACAAAACAGACGGTCTGGAATCATTTGTGGAATGAATGAAGGGTCATTATTACCTCACATATCCCATCTACACAAACATTACGGCTATCCTCCGAGCAGGGAGTCCCATCTTTCACTTTATTTGACAAAGAAAAGAAGAAATCAAATCCTTCTGCGACACAGTAGAGTTTGCATAAGTCCTGATCTTAAAAAGAAATACACACACAAACACAGATAAGAAAGATACTTAAGCTCTGATCATTTTTGCTCTGAATTTTAGATAGACTTTCTTTTCTTCTCCCCCATAAAATAACTCCCACACAACGATACATTGTAATGACATTTTTTACAGTTGCCTCACTAGGCTTTGCTTTTTTCCCCCATAATTTGTTACTATTATATTTTAATAACTATTAAATTTCAATCTATGTTGTCCTTTACGATCCTTGCTCTTTACACAGTGGTTGGCACATAGTAGGCATTCAATAAATATTTGTTAACTACAACATTAATAGTTTAGTGTTTTACTTGTACAATTAACTACTATGCTGTAGAAATGCAAAGAAGTCACTACCGTTTTGTAGTAATACACGAAAAAAGTAATAAATTACAAACAAACGTCATAACATCATTAAAACAGCTACTGATTTTTAAAAGTGCATTTGATGGAATACATAAATACTTTTAAACTAATAACGAAAATGACTTAGATGAATCTCTAGAGAACTACTTTTTTAATCAATAGAATGGACTATCAAAAATACTGGCACATAGAGAAATAGGAAATTCACTTTCTCCCTCAATAATCCATCCAAGGTCTTACGGTGTATATTTTAAATGAACTTGTTTTCTTCTCGGCAAATAGGAATAGTTGATAAAAGAAGTTTTGTCTGACTTAGAGATTTTTACAGACCCAAGACTCACCTACAGATATTTTTCTTAGTTTTCAAAATAAGAGACCTGGGTAATTCTAAGAATCAAATCTAGTATGCGCTTCTTTGATTCATAAATTCATTTGCTGAAAATTGTCAAAGTAGCAGTAGCATACACAATTTTGGGGTCCCGTTCAAAGTTCATTCTACTTTTTTCTCCTGCCTAATGGTCTGCTTTTCACTAGCTTCATTTTTACAGATTTAGGAATAAAAAACCAAACGTGTTTTTTGTGGGACTTGCAATTTTCCTTCCAGAATTTGCTGTCTTTATAAACCTATCGCCAAGAAAACACTGGATATATTGAGATGATAAAAGTCCATGCCACAAGGGATACCCCAGCTTATTTATTTCCAAGTGTCTCTTCTTGGACAATATTCTCAATTTCAAGACATGAGATGACTAGGCATTCTTTGAAATTCTCCTTATATGCCACTTGAGCTACTGACTTCAAGTGATTCTAATTCAGAGAACAACACTTTTTCTTTCCTACTCCAGAGTAAAATATCTTTCATATGCCACAAATAGACTTCTTGGTTTATAGATATAAACCAAGACTCTCTGAATGTCGTTTGTTTGAAAGCTATTTTTTTTCATCCATTGACAGTTACAAGTATACCATGGGTAACTTGCTAATAGCAACATCACTATCAACCACTATAATGCTTAATTAAGAAAACACACACATTGATCCAGCATCAATGCATCCTCTTCATGGTCTCATTTATCATTTTTTGGATGAGCTTCATTGTATCATGTAGACACTCCCTCTCTGGCCTGTTGATTTTTGACCTCACAACTGGTCAAGTGTAGACAAGATGCCTCCCGCAAAATCAAATTAACTCTCAGAAAAGAATGTGTGACATCAGCCGGGCATGGGGGCTCATGCCTATGATCCCAGCACTTTGGGAGGCTGAGGAGGAAGGGTTGCTTGAGCCCAGGACTTTGAGACCAGCTCGGGCAGCAGAGTAAGTCCTTGTCTCTATAAAAATAAATAAAATGATAAAATACTAATAAATAAAAATAAAGAGTGTGTGACACTGACCTCCCAGAGTGCTGTCTGGCTTATCTGAACACTGCACTCTCAGACATGCAATTGTTTAAAACGTAAAGTTAGCAGAGCTGGGCTCCGGGGAGAGAGAAGTTTGAGACCTACCTTCCACCTGGGTGTAAGGCTTCCACTTGTAGTGCCGGCCTCTGAAGCGCCGGCTGTTGTGCTCTGCGCACTGGGCAGCGCGGAAGTCAACACTGTCCTGGGGACAATTCTGACGGTTGCAGAGTTTCAGTGTACGTGTCGAGCCCTCGCAAAACTTCCCTCCATGCGATGGCCTGGAATGTATATTTGAAGTTAGCAACCTCCCAGTTTAGTAGGTGCAGAGCTCTTCCTTGCAATGGGCTTACTGGAGAGAAAGAGCCAACCATCCTAATTTACTTGGAGTGGGTCATGAGGAAAAGTGCATTTCTAGGCATCACTGACACATCCTTGCACGTGGGTGATACAGGCGGTGCTCCCGTTTCTACTGAGTGACTTATTAGCTATGGAGTCCTTGTTCCTTCACACTTCACGGGGAGGAACTGGCTAAAGTGGGCCGGGCCTTCCCAGGATGGCACAGCTGAGAGAACGAGGAACTCAGACAGAAGTGCAATGCCTTCACTTGCCAGATCGCAACATCTTTCTGCCACCAGCCTCCTGGTGACAAGGCCAGGGCCCGACGACAGTCAGAAGAACCATTCGCCTTTGCTGGTTGGCACTGACAACTCACCCCTGCTCACCCCTAAAGAATGTGTGGGTGCACATCTGGGTGAGGACATCCTAAGGGACACAGAGTGGGACTCTGGTCTCACTCTTGACGGAACTAAAATGGCGAGCAACACAACATGTCTCAAACCAACCTGGGAGCAAAAGGGGACTCTAAGAACCTCTGCCCTTCCCACCACGGTGTCTGCTTCTCACATTCGTGTCTTCTGACAGAAGCCCACAATTAATCCATCTGTCGTGAAAGTAAGTACGCTTGACAGAAAAGCAAATGTTTTTTCCTACAGGAAACAATTGTTCTCAATGATTCTCATTCATTTGCATTTAATATACTTTTCTTGTGATTTACTCACATGCTTTAAGCAGATCCTCGGTATCTCAAGCAATGTGGTCAAATCCAATTTCTGACTGTTAGGTCAGGTGGTTCTTAAGTTATATCAAAGAGAGGTAATTATTTAAGAAATACTTCAGTAAAATACTTTTCCTACTCGGTGCTTCTTGCCATAATAGGTGAAGCGCTGACTTAATATTACTGAGCGGAGGTACAGACATGCCACTTGAAGGCTCATGGCAGAGAAATAAATCATTTATGAGGAAGAAGGTCAAGGCAGACTGACCTGGGGTTGGTGCAGAGGCGGGCCCTGTGAGACACCCCTCCCCCACAGGTCCTGGAGCAGGGGGACCAGGGAGACCAGTCCGACCAGTGGCCATGGGTGGGCTTGGGGCCTTCATCGCCAGCTTTCACACACTGCCCTCCGCGGCACCACTGAAAATGTACAAAATGATTAAAAAAAAGTTGACCAGACTCACGGAGAGCTAAACGGGTTCATTTCACCGCCAACATAACACTGAGTAGCGGGATGTTTTGCAAAATATGCAGTCATTTTTTTTTAGTCCGATAAACATGTAGATTTATTTGAAATCAGTTTGGTGTGTGATACAGATTGGTTTTGCAGTTTTAAAAGAACTGAAGTCGAAATTTCTAAATACAGCAGTGTCTGCCTGTGCAACAAATATCTGTAAGGTAAAATAAGGTATTTGATAGACGTACATCTGCATGAACAAATCATATGAAAAATCTGAAAAGGTTTCTATATACCTTCTGGATTAAAAAGTCCCAAAATTATAAATGGCTCAAGATACTACATTGTTAAAGGAAGGGGGGAAAGAGTGAAAAAGCTGTGAGTTCTGTTGTAAGAGATCATCTGCAGACTTGCAAAATTTAACTTTATATTATGCTTTTGTTGTTAATATTCCTTCTCTCGAGTCGTATCTCATGCAAACACAGTGAATTCAGCACTGCTTCTCTTTTCTTTCCAAATCCAGCATCCTTCTATATATCCACATGCAGGGAAGAGGGATAGAAAAATCATTTTTGAAATGTCTGAGCTCCTGGAAATCCCATATTTTTAATGAAGGCATGTCATCTCAACACTCAGCCTGACTGCTCCGTGAACTTTGACCTCCCCTGAAAACAAGGTGCTTTTCATGACTGTTCAGGGCAGAGAGAAACTCAGTGGGGAGGGTGCAGCTGGAGACTCCATAAGGCTCAACACCATGTCATTTCTGGCCACTCTGCACGCTCTTACCCCTGAGCACCTGGGCTGGGAGACTCGAGGTTATTCACTGATGGCATGTGGGAGGTCACGCAGTTTCCAAGGCCATGAAGCAATCGCCATGGAATTCCATCTGTCCCCGCGAGGGCTGGAGATGCTGTCTGTTGCCCTTTCTCCAGAGAAGTGCTCATCCATTCAAATTCACGCTAAGCTCCACATGGTTACTTCATGCCATCACACATGAATGCTACACACTGTTGAACACTGTGTCCAAGGGTGTTGCTTCTGGGGTGGTTTGGTGTAGACTTCAAGGATCCTAAAGGCCCTGCTGTCTGTAGAGAGGAGGAAGGAAGATGCGTGCCCCTTGGCCCTGACTTGGAAGGACTCAGGAGAACTTGCTGTGTACTGGGAAGGGGAGACTCACCCCTTTCTCTCTCTAAGGTTAGAGCCACCAGATTTGTACTGAGAGAAAAAAAGGATACTTTTATGAGAGGAAAAAGAACACTTTATTAATGGATGTATTAGGTTAAAATATATCAAACCACTGATATTTGACCATTGATGGCACACAAAAATGACAATTTCAAATGGGTCTGTGAGGTAGCAGTTAGACAGAAGCAGGAAGACACACCCCAGAGAGTAGCCCACCTACCATTTCCCCCAGGTCACCCAGTTTCAGACTAGTCCCTGCCCCAGGTTCCTCACTCACATAAAAAGTTATTCTCTCTTGCTGTCATGGCATCTTACCTAGTACGGAGCTTTGTGCGCCCAGGACTCACCAGACCAGCATGCACGCACATTTGAAGTTTACAGTTGCCCTCATATGACCTTTGGGTTATTACCATATTGTTAGCACTGGGGTTTTAACTCTCCTCCCCCAACATCCCCTTGGGTTTCCTTTAGGTACTCATGGGAAACCTGCACATGCAGTTCCGAAGGTTATGTAACTCAGGACCTGGCCATCCAACTGTGGAAAAGGTAAATTGGCAGGAGAAAAACTGAAAATGGATGGTTTTTGTTCTTGTTGATTTTTTAAAAAATACAACAAACAGAAAATCATAAACCAGAAGCCCACAGCCAGTTAGGAGACTGAGCTTCCCCTGGACAGGCCGCTCCGTCCTCTGAGCTGCACCGAGTATACTCTTGCTCACAAAAAACCAGTCACTGGCACCTGCTATTGTTTGTGCTGCATTTTCAATTATTTGTTGACAAGACACAAGAACCGAAGACCACAACACAGACCCTGCTAGCCCAGTAACAGTCTGATTTAATACTATTACATGATGAAAAATGTAAGTAATGCTGAGTACTACAGTCTCTCAATTCTTCTATTCTTTTCTTTTTTTTTTTGAGTTGGAGTCCCACTCTGTCACCCAGACTGGAGTGCAGTGGCCGCTCCCGGCCACCGCAGCCTCGACCTGCTGGGCTC